CACACTGAGCAGCAAACCAGCAAGAGTACAGACCAATCTAACATCGCAAGCAGGAAGCATACCTTTCAGGTCTTCTTTCACAGCTTTCTATACAGATCAGTTTACTGCCCCTATCACACAGGTCATTAAATCAAGGAATCTACTTTCAAATACGAATTGTCAAAAAGTTATTGGCCTTTGATAGCTCACTCCTTTCCCTCAAAAAGTTTCTTTGATAAAGTCGCATCAAACCGAACGCATATTAGGAAGAAATTTTATTTTTTAGAAGTCGTGGAAAAATCAATACAGAAAGTACAAATTGCCTAGTAAGTAAACCAACACGCAAGTACTAACACCCACCAAGCAACCAATCTTCATTACAGCCAGGACAGCCATTACAGGAGACATGTAGCTCACATATTGTAAATATGGGTTTCATTAAGAGTTTTCCCACAAATGCTGTTGGGGTCTCTGCAGTGCGTGGGAAAGAGGAGCAGAAGCCAACACGAATGAGTTCCTGCTGCCAGTGAGCAGCTCCCCAGTCAGTGAGCAGCAGCAAGCCCCACAGCATGCAGAGCCTTGGCTGCCCAGGGAGAAGGAAGACTGAGTTTTGAGAAGAGTGCCTGCCTGGGTAGATGGCTTAAGATACCAGGTTGGGGGGAAAGAAGGAAGTTTCACTGCTTTGACTAGTCAGTGCACACCTCCTATAGAAAGCTGTCTCCTCCTTGAAAAACCTCAGAATTACTGACCCTGGAGCTTCTCCACAACTCCAGTAAAGTGTGATCAAAGGAGCATGATAACATTTTCAGGTCACTGCCACCTTCTCCCTATAAAAGTCTGCAGTACCATTCAGGTAGTGGACTCATTCAAACCACTGGTGTAGTTTTTAAAAACCTCAATTCTGCTAATGAAGCCTCCACATCTTGCCATCAAAAAAAAGAAAAAAATTAAAAATAGCAGCTTTCCCTCTCTTCCAGGCCCAAGTCTCATAGCTTACAGGACACTCCTGGGCTCCCTACTGCATCTACATGGCAGAACAAGTACTCCCTTTTCAGTCTAACACCACGGCACTTTCAATCTTTGCTTGTGCTTATTTATTTTGTCCACTCTTTTACAGCAGTGGTCCTGCAAAGTGAGACACACAAATGAAGTCATGCACAGACACCTATTCTCTCACTCAAAGTCTTTTCAATGTAGAACTAGTGGCCATGTGCAGCTCTGAACCGGACGAGTTCCTTCCTCCTCTAGTTTAAAACCTATTCATGAAACACAAAATTAAGCATTTCTTAAAAATCATGCTGTGCTGACAATGTAAGCTCTTATCTCCCTACTGTCAGTTTTAAAGACCAACCATCTCTGGTTTATTTTAACCATCAACACGGGGAGCTTAAAAAGGCTGTACATGAAATAAGGAAAAGATTATGATGAATAAGCTTGGTAAAATTAAGATCATGTTCACAAAGGGCCACATATGGACCATACAGAACATAGGAGGACTTTCTAACCTCGCCACGTTTCTTATGCAGCTCTGTCAGCTCCTCTTGATGCTTTATCTTCAGCTGTGCCAGTTCCTGCAACTGAGCATCATTCCATGTGCCATCATGTCCTGGACTGGAGTTTGAGAGAAAGGAAGAAGAGATCACAAACTAGAATCCAATTGCTCCTGTGCCTTTCACCAGTTAGTCTCAGGACAAACTCCCTTGGATGTTCTATGCTACATAAGAGGTACAGGTCATTCATAAACTAAACCACAGCTAGCTCCCCCACAACACACTTCTCACCAACCAAATGCCATTATATATTACCAGAAAATAAATTTACTGAAGATTTAGTTCACCTTTTTGTACATTTCTAAACTAGAATTCATAAGCAAATGAAAGATAACTAGCTTTTGCTTAAATTCGCATGAAGACAATTAAGTCTTAAAAGTACACTCTCCAAATTCCGTAAAAATTACAAATATTTTACCACCTTAAATTTGTTTTGGAGGGAGCTGGTGGACCTTGAAGATGCTAGACACCTGGAGACAGCATAATACAGGGCACAGAACCAAAAGCCAGGGAATTAAGGGTATATCCCCAGGCCCCTGGATTTATAGTCCCAGGTGTTGCAAGTTGGCTTCTCCACTGTCCTAACTACATTCTAGCCTTATTGTGTAAAAGTTTAGGGGTGGTTTTTAATTGTGTTTTACAATACAGTGGTGCCATGACATAATCTGGAATTTCTACACACCAGAACACCACACATCTCACACCTCAAACAACTATGATTGTAACATTTATCACTCATATCTTTGAAAGCACAGAGACAGGAACAGCAGTTAGCTTTTTAAAAGCATATACACATATATACATATCATACACAGACTTTGAGCAAGTTAGCAGCTGTATGATAAAATTACAGCTTTTAAAACTAAAAATTTTAAGTTCATCACTATTATAACAGACAAACAGAACAAGTATCTGTTTCTGCAGTCATTCTGTGTTTTAACAGTCCAATGGGAAACAGATAATGCATTCAGAAGCTGAAAGGTCTCACAGTGATATCAGTAACTTAACGTTCTTCTCAAACAAACCCCTCACTGAACTAAGACTGTACTAGAAGACACAGCATTTCTAAAAAAACTGCGTCCAAACAGATAGGAAGCCAAGTCCTGTGGTAATATCCAACATGTCCTATAACTCTGGCCATGCATACCTCTATAGCCAGAACTAGATACTCCTCCTTGGCCTTAAGGTACATAAAAGCATTTTTCCTCAAGCTATCTAGGATGAGGGAATTCATTCTGTTTCAAAAAAACTGTCATATACTGAGGACAGTTTCAGAGTTCAGCTTAGTATTTACTTTGAAGATGCTGTTTCTGTGCATTTCTTCTCATCCTCATCTACTCCAGCCTCACCTCTTAGAGTAAGCGTTCAATCAGAATCAGATTCCCATAAATTAGAGATGGTTCAAGACAACTGCAGTCATCAGAAAGCTTTGAGTACTTTCACACAGGTGTTAACTCCAGCCTGCTGGCCAAACACTGATATTTTGCCTGAAATTCTTGTAAAATCAGTTCTTCCTTCCTTACTCGTAATAGTACACAATAGCCTTACCTATATTTATTTGTTTTGTATCCCAATTAGACATGCATATACAGTTTTGCATTAAATAGCAAAAAGAGCTTCAACAGAGGAAGTAATTCCTACAGAAGTAGGAAATTCTGGGCTACTGCCCTGCCTTTTCTTCAGTTACACCAAAAGGAGAACCCAACAGCCTTTACCTGCTGGGATTTACATGCTGTCTAAAGGACACACTCCTAGCATACCTGTTTGCTGTGGATTCAAGTGCCAACAGAGTAAGCAGCATGACCTCTGCCTGCTGCACTACTGTGCTATTACCATGTTAGAGAGGAAGTTTCCTGAAAAAATCCTGCTAAAAACAGACAGAAAACATGTTCTTTTTAGCATACAGTACTTATTTCGGACTGACACTTCAAAATCATGACTTCCTCTGTTCTCCCCTTCTACACAATAACACAGACTGAAAGAAACCACGACATCGGTTTCTCCCTACAATGCTTAAATGATCAGACAATTTCAAGAGCCAGATCACAATCATCAGGAACTAACACCACACAAATGTTATAAGCATTACAAGGCAAACAGATCAGAGGCAGAAGCTCATTCTGGTCCACCTCCACACCTGGAGTTTGACATAAATTAATTTATGTCCAAAGCTTGGTCAGATCTTTCTGCAGTGTATACTGTAAACATATTGTAACTTTATCACATGTTTACAGTTTGTTATAATTTATTTTTAGCTCAAGAGACTTCTCAGTTTCTTCTACTCCAAGTTACTGGAGTAACTAGAAGTTGTTTACGTAATGCATCAAACAATGGTTTAGGTTACAGCGTACACGACAAGACAGCTGACTGACAGAAAAGGCATTTTAAATACCTGATCTCATGTCTGCTCTGCATGTCATATTTTTCTGCTTGAAGCTTTTCAGCCAGCACTGCATGAAGGTCCGACTTCTCTAGTAGCTTGTTATCTGAAAGGGCAAAAAGCGCATTTAAGAAGATAACCAAGAAGCAAAACCAGATTCCCATCCTTTTCTTCTACCACCTAAGATCCAATACCTTTAATTAGTCTGACACAACGAAACATTATGTAAGCCTCCACCAATTAGTGTGCGCTCCTCTCTGATGTCAGCAGGCTAGGGCAGTATTCAGCTACAACTCTAAGAATTCCTCATCAGTCCAGATGCTGTGTGGGACTGGTCTTATGGCAGTTTAATAGAGAGACTGCTCAAGTGTATTGCTATTTGCTAAAACAGAAGGAGTTCAAAGTTTAAACTCTTTATAGCCCCTCAACTGATAGCAACAAGTAAAACAGACCTGCCAGAGAACTGGTCACATCCAATACTGCACACAGTCCTGCCGAGGCTTGTTTGCTTTTCCCCCCCATCATATACAGCACCTCAGCGTGTGAGCCAGCAGTGTTAGGTGACCCCCCACTTCCATTCACTCCAGTCACAGCTGAGGCAGGAGAGGGATGGGGCAAGTAAGCGCTGGATAGAAAGTGCTCGCCTCTGAATAGCTCCAAATTTTACAAAAGATCACGAACATGGTCAATAGCACTATTGTTCTTGCTTCCAGAAACATCTGAGCGGGAATCGGGCACACAATTTAGGCATTCAATCCCTGTCCACAACACAAACGATGTTCAGCCTGTGTGGGAACTGAGAGAAACAACTATTCATCTTTCTCGGTAATGTAGAAACCCCAACTTTTCTCGGTTTTAACAAAC